CGCTTAGCTTCGGCAGCATCAATTTCGTCCCCACGACACTAAGTAAAAGAACCTGATATCGGAACCGGACATTATTAGACTCCATAAAAGACGATCAAGACAATCGAATAGCAGTCCTGATGAACAATCATGACCCATAACAACTCGTCTTTATCATTTGCAAAGTTTCGAACTGCACTCGATCTCCTCCGTCCATGTACAAATGGCAACACCCTTCGGATTGCATTCCTTCCCTTTACTTTTCTTCCCGGCTTTATGGCATTTCCCATGATCGCGGCCGCTTGACCACGTCAGCGATTTCTTATGGATCACAACTTTCCCCCCGCAAATCGACGCAGTTGGATTAGGCTCTGCGTTCGATATCGTCTGGTTATATGAGTAGTCCCACGCGTTGTTGCACGTAGAGACTAAATCACAGGGTGTATTGGGGGAGCGGTTAGCGATTACGAGTGTCATTTCGTTAGAACGAGTGTTTTTGGTTCATTACCTTTACTGGGCATGATGAGACTTGAATTGTAGAAACCTCCACCCTCTACGTCGCATACGAGATTAGAGTAGGTGAAGTCCGCGACAGCGAATCGAACAGCAGAAAAAGTGCCAAGTAGTATTAAAGGTGAAGTGAAACGCATGGCGGACGCGCGCTCAAGTAAGGACTTGAGAGATCAAATTCAATGAAGGTGCAGTAAGAGGTCGTCGTCAACGAGCGAGAACAAGACACTGGGACTAGGATAAGTGATCAAAGAAAGCTTGTCCTTTTATATGGTGCAGCGAAAGATCACCCGGAAGTGTGGGCCCGCGCCGAAAGGGTGTGTTACAACAATAATATATATCAACATTACTGTATTGGGCACTCCGGCACGTCAACAGATCATGATCGGGCAACACAAGGCAACAGTTCCACTGTGTTTTGAGATAAAATATCCAAGCTCGGATATTACCAGAATCCTCACGGAATCCTGCAAGTATCTGCGCGACGAGGCTGGATATTGAAGTATTCTTATAACCAGTCACCCCATCATATTGCTCGGATGTAACATGGATACGAGACAGCCCAATTGAAGAAGGGTCACGACCAGGTAGAGGGTTCATACACACTAGTGGCGGCTGCTGCCTAGCTCGGGTCCGCGACATGACCGACACCCTCCCAGTGTCAGTGACTCTGTTCCCGCTCCAGCCACTGTTTTTCAAATTGTAGTGGTATGTGACACAGACATGCGGGAGGCCAATACTGCGCAAATGGACTGCAGCATGGACTGCAGCGGCCATCAGACACCTTAAACGCGCGAACGGTGACGTACGTGCTCACATTCAAGTCAAACATTGCCCGGAAACCTGTCAAACCCCCCATTTGTTCCCCCTCTTGTATCTAACTCTGTATCCCTTCGACGTCGGTGGCTTCCACTGTAATCGACGTGCTCCACTAAGCCTATGCAAATTAATGGCTGCCCATTTGTTCGCTCTAGCTGATCGGCGCTTTCAAGAGCATTACTCTTTTTGGTTTGTGGTGTTCGATATCATGCAGCGCCTGTACAGTTGTATCTATGACAAAAGTAAAGTGGGCCAAACGGGCCGGGCGAGAAGAGTGGCGGGTTCTGTCGTGTCAGGCGGCGTCCACCAGTGCAGTTATCTACAAAGATCGACACACCGAACGAAGTCGACGAGCAACGCGAAGGAGGGGAGGGAGGCAACGGTAAATGCAATGCGAAAGTGGATTGACCAGACAGATACGACTAGGCGAAGATATTATGAAATCCGTCAGCGTGCTCCAGGCAACCGGTGCAGGCCGGGGGTTAGGTACTTTACAAAAACAGGATTAACTGAAGAAACGGAGAAAGGGCCGGGCGGTGGCGCCTTCAGTTGCGTTTGAAGGCTTAAGGGGTACCACAGCGATGGGCAGTTGGCAGGAGTACTGGTTCAGACTAGCAACAGTTTGGACTGTTCGGGTTTTTGGACGGTATAAATTGTAGCGCCATAGTTTTCCATTCCTAGGACGAGTTTGAAGGTTTCAATAACTGACCGAGAGGAACACACTGCGACGTGTTTGTTTAGGGGGGTGCAAGGGATTATGATACAACATCTTTCTTCAGACCTCCCAGGATAGGCCGAAGGTGAGCCACGTTTGGTGAAAGAGGAGGTCCAATTCGCTAGGCAGTGTTCTGAGAAGAGTAAATCCAATACAGCGAAGGGCTAGACTAGATCCGAGCAAAGTCTTTCCGAATTTCTGAAGACTATCTGTAACTTCGTTGTCGAACTGGAAGTTGGTGAAATTTCAATCCACCCGGGAATAGTAGGGAATGCCATTTATGAGAATATCGAATGCGAGGGACAATTTCGGGTGAACTCCCTCAGCCATGGTCTGCCACGCAGAGAACTAATACTTGGACACACGACCGTCAAGGAAAAGCAAAAGGGTTTCGCCTCAGTCTTGAAGTAGAGAGCCGAATCGTTATCTGCCTTCACTAATAACTAATCGAGCCAAACTGACGCATTGTTCCTTCAGCAATGGGCTTCGTGGTGATCTGAGACCTTCCGGCTGCACTTTGCTTGGATTAGGGTCTTGGGGGTTGTGTCCCGCACGCAGGTGGTTTCGGAAAGGTACGGAGAAGCCCTGAAGGTGAGAGCATGACAATTTCGCTTAGCTTCAGCAGCGTCAATTTTGTCCCACGACACTATGAGATTTTAGAGAACCCGATATCGGAATCAGTCATCATTAGACTTCATAAAAGACGATCAAGACAATTGCATAGCAGCAATCATAGCAACTCCTCTTTATATAATCATGCATCATTTGCAAATTTTCGAATTGCACTCGATCTCCTCCGTCCATATACAAGCCGCAACATCCTTCGGATTGCATTTCCGAATCTTCCCTCTACCCTTCTTCCCGACTTTCTGGCATTTCCCATGATTGCGGCCGCTTGACCACGTCAGCCATTTCTTATGGATCGTAACTTTCTTCCCGCAAATCGATGCAGTTGGATCATGGTACGCGTTCGATATTGTCTGGTTATATGAGTAGTCCCATGCATTATTGCACGTAGAGACTAAATCACAGGGTGTATTGGGGGAGCGGTTAGCGATTCATTTTTGCCAGATCGAGTGTTTTTGGTTCATTACCTTTACTGGGCATGATGAGACTTGAATTGTAGAAACCCCCACGCTCTTCTTCGCATACGAGATTAGAGTAGGTGAAGTTCGCGACAGCGAATCGAACAGCAGAAAAGATGCCAAGTGGTATTAAGGGTGAAGTGGGGCGCATGGCGATAAGGGACTTGAGTGATCAAAGTGTATGTCGTCGAAGGGCGAGAACAAGACACTGGAGCCAGGACAAGTTCTACAGCGTGGTCAAGAAAGCTGGTCCCTTTTTATATGGTGCAACTAAGGATCGGCCAGATGTGTGGGCGCGCCCCGAAAGGGTGTGTTACGGCATTGCATGTATTATTACTGTATTAGGCACTTCGGCCTGCGACGCAAGGTAACAGAAGATTAGGCGCGCAGCGAGGTGGTGATAGACAAGGAAAACACGGAAGTCCGTTGTCGACGATACAGGATTTGTACAGGATGTGGTTAAGTAACCATGATACCGCTCTGCCGCTATATATTCTTTGAGCTTAAGTGTACAGTATATATGTAGTTAAATTTCCCCTACTTAGGGTCTAAATTGACTTATTTCAAAATAAAATATCCCTGCTCCTCACCCACTAGAAGGGCCGCTGCTCGGCCATGACCTTGATTGGGAGAGTTTGCCCAGGTGAATTTTTACTTTCTTTTTACATATATATTATGCTTGGCACCCCATGCAGCCCTGGTCCTGCAGATGGTTGAACCCCAACTGAACTTCACCGTGCAAAGAGGGCCTCCCCCAAAAGCAAATGGCTAACCCAGGGTCCTCCCAAATATCTTAGAACAATTTCGCAACGTATAATTTCCACACACGCTTCATTAGATCTTCACACAACTTCTCGGACGCCGTCCCCACAGCACCCGTGAGATTCGTTGCATGGGGTGGGATGAGTTTCTCAAATCGATGAATGAACGAACTAATTAATCAAGAGCATCTGTAGCACCATTAAAATTTTCGCCAAACAAAGCTATGGATACATCCCATTTCCGGGGAAGGGAATTCATGAACCTACCTTGATCCAAGCTCGCATCGTGCATGGAGTCCCTTCTGAGCTAGGGGTTGCGAGATCGCATCGGCTCTTGCCCAGTTTGTGAACGTAGGCCCTGGTTCAGTATATATTGAAAAAGGATAGGCAAGACGATAGTTAGATATGGCCAGAAGGGCGCGACGACGAAAAGGACACGTCCGTACGCACCGGGAAGGAACCTTGTGTACTCATCGCCGAGGCGCAGCGAACGTTGGGGACCATCTAACCTGTCATAGCACCTTCAGCGTGACAGCACATGGCCGGCCGAGCGAAAACACCACCAGTAAACCGAGGGACAGTTCTATCATCCTTATATGTTAAAAAATGTCTATTTCTCATTCCGGGGAAAGCGCTGAGTGTGGATCATGTAACAAGTGGACAGGTTTATTGCCGATGTTAGAAACCGTAACACCGACGGAAAGTTTGACGAGGTCATCTACCGGAATGTTCAGGCTGAGCTTGAGTGATGGAGCTAGCACCGAGATCGTCAGTGTCAGAAGCCGGCTGAACAGAGCGAGAACACTGCGTGTCTGCATCATCATGCCTGAGGGAGTGGGCACGACTTTATACTAGTTATGTACGATTTGGATATCAAAAGCGTATGACAGAGGTAAAAAGTTCCGAAAACGGTGCCTGAATAACTGGGATAATCAAGGTCAAGAGGTCATTGGCGAGTCAGCGGAGAGGGAGCCAGGACATATTCTGCAGCATAGCGAGGAAAGCTGGTCCTCTCCATATCATGTAGCCGGGTCACCCGGGTGGCCGTACTACGCCAACCTACTAACCATATACTAGACGATGGCATGGCTAGGCAGGTGCTCACTGTCATGGGATAAAAAAAAATGTGCGTGTCGCCACCAGGAATCGAACCTGGATCGTAACGGGACTGCAATCCACAACGTTACGTCTTAACCATTGGACGATAGCGACGTCAATATTGGGTGGGTTGGTATGCGCTTAATAATTATCTCACAATCCTACAACAGAACTAAATCCAGGCGGGCACTCACGGTGAACGTCCCATCCCTAAACGTGGTGCTTCGCCATTCCCACGGCACAGGAAAAACCCGACGATGGCGCGGATCAGTGAGCTTGCAGCTGGGGAGGCTCGGGAAGTGTGAAAAGCACCATCGTGAACGCCACCTCAAAACGTCTCCACATCTTCTGATGGTGCACACAAGCTGACCATCTCGTGGAGGATATGCGAGGCTTTCAGGTACACCTAGCGGAGCTCCTGATAAGAGCCATCCGATGCGAAGAATTTAACCATTGCGTTAACCGACCTCCTGGAAACCATACATTTATGCACAAATTCGTGCTCAAGGGGACTATCAGAGTCGAGAGCAGGCCATCAATCCCACTTCCTCTCTAGCATGCTGGAGTCGAGCGGAAAAAATCGCAAATTCAAATAGTACGACATTATTTAAGACGGAACAGCGTACTCGGAGTTTCCAGATTCAGGAAAATTTCCGTGCGCTTGAATAGTAGAATAGTCTTTGACGCGCCCATGACGCGATAGGTGGGTTACCAGAAGAATGCTCCTTTTGAACTAGTACATAGAATTGAGATCACAGTGCCTCGTGGCACTGGCGACTGGGACATGCGCGGCTTCGACGCGTTTAGCATTTGAAACCCTGATACAACGTCTATATGCGCATGTTGCATAGGAAAAGCAAAGGTTGCGTCGAGCGCAGCCTCGAGAACTCCTCACCATGTAACCGCGGCACACAACATGTGCCTATTGGCACGGAAACGAGAATGGTGAGGGTCTTCCTGCTGAACGAATGGGAGCATGGTTTAAACTATTAACCACTCATGCCATTCTTTGAGACATAATGTTAAGCCCAACAAATGATCTGTCTATGTTATCTTCGGTTCCGATTGGATAGAGTCTCGGAACATCATCGGTTGCGGCGTGACAACCAGCGAAAGAAGTCATCACGCGCGTCTACGCACAACCACGGCGTGGTTCGCGAACTCTTGAAGGCACGACGCGCTGTTGAGAATACGCCGCTTCCATGAGCGGAAGCGGTGGTTGTGGAAGTCTGGCATTCAATCGGTATTCCGACGCGCCAAGTCACGCCAAAAAGCATCAGGAGGGCACCAGAAGAGTTTATCCGTAAATGGGGCCATCGGTGAATGGACTGAGCTCTTAGCACGGTGCCTAACGCAGCGACAGGCACCAAGCTTTGATGAGTTGAGTCATGTGACTACCAACAGGAACGGAATCGGAATCGGAATCCTAGTCTCGATTGAACGCGCAAAAGCGTGCTCGCAAGACGCGTCCTCGAACGCGGAAATTATTATCGGATGTCCTCGCTCGCGCATGCGCCCAATGGTCATTGCTTTACAGCATAAAAAGGGTTGGGGACACCTCAACGCCTTCGATAACCCTCTAACTAACAGCAATGGCACTCAACATTGTCCAAACTGTAGCCACTGTCGTGAAAGAAGCCAGCAGTTTGGCTCCTTTGCCTGGACTTTCATTGGCAGCTTCATTGTTGAATCAGACCCTCGCCGCGGCACAGCAAGTTGACCTGCAGAAACGCCAAGCCGAGTGCATTACCAAACTCTTGGATCAAATTGTCCCTGTTGTACAGGAGAAGTTCAACAATCTTAATGCGCAAAATATGCAGCCTCCTTCTTCACTGCTGGACAATGTGAGGAGACTGGAGAGGTAGGGTGGCAGACCAGGTATTCAGAAGAGCTGCTCATGAGATTCCCTTTGCAACTCAAAGCACCCTGCTCAGGATTAATACAGAACTCATGGATTTTCTCTGCCATGGATTCTTCTGGCGATTGTGCCACACGGACCGCATGGCACTAGCATTGTCCACGTACTATTCTGAAATCAGCACGGAGTCCCAGTTATTTGGGGTGTGTAGACCTGTTTTTCGCCTCAAACCTTCCCTGACCCACTATATTAGTTTGAAGTTGACGTTAACGCGTCAATGTATCGGGAGGAAGATCGTCTGGAAAGAGCGGCTGATTCGCAGAAGATACGGGACATTGTCGCGCTCCTCGAAAACTCTCAACTGCCTGAGCTCGTCCGAACTGATAGCAGCGGTGCACTTGACCAAGAAGAGATGCGTGAAATCATGCAAAGGCGTGATGTGCTCCTCGCTACTTCCGTTTCGGACATACATGAGGCTCTTGATGCTATTTTCGCGAGGCTTGAGGTTATGCTGCCTCCAAGAGGTGTGGGCCCCCCAGTCACTAATTGGTCCCAGAGACAGCAGGAGGTATTTTATAGATTTCCGTTAGCTTTACCCCTTATTAACTAGGATTGTCACTAGGGCCCCGATATTGAACCAACTCTTGTTCCATCTCCGCTGTCCACGGGCTTTACGGGTTCTCCGATAACTCCTGGCTTGGGTTTTTTACACATCAAAAGAATATACACAGCGTAAGCTCCATAAGAATCAGACAGGAACGTGCAAACTAAGGGTACTGCCAGTTCCATCTCGTCTGTCTCGTTAGACGATGATGGAAATTCTTCGTGCTTCGAAAGGGGAGATTGCTCTGAGGACTCTTGGGTTATCTCCAGCAGCAACGAGCCCACAGAAATTTCTCCGAGCACAACGCGCAAAAAAGACACTCATGCGTTGTCGATAATACCAGTTCCTCATACCGCCAAGGTGCTGGCGTGTCAAGGGTACAGCCTTGCGCCGGAGCCTGGACGTTGTATGCTTCTGTCGACCATGGAACCTTCGTGGGATCCTCTGAATGGCCCGGGTATTCAATCCCTACGACAGGAAGTGGCTAATCGCGCACACACATCATCCTTTCTGACAGCAAACGAGGGCGGGCATCAAAATCAGCGTCACGTCAAACAAGAACATCCTGCTCATTCCAGGGATCCGCTCCATCACAATACCGGAACGTAAGTGTCTACCCATCTCTGAGCTTACGGATGCGAGTCTCCTGACCCAAGTCTTACCTTGTACTTGTAGGCTTACCATCACACATCACATCAAGAGGCGACGATCCGGCGCAACAAAAGAAAACAACCCATTCCCGTCGAACGACGTTGGCCTGGTTCGGGATGATGTCGCTGACTGGTTTGATTCGGGCACGCGTTGGACAAAATTGTTTGGTGGAGGCAACCGTGTCCCCATAGACTCCTTTGCCTTTCGTCCAATTGAGCTTGACACGCTTAGGGTTTAGTGTACGGTACACGTCCGAACAGGACTACCCCATTTGCGCGATATATGAGATAGATTAAAGCCCCGAAGTGGGGGGCTGCTTGATACTTCTTGGTGGATGCTTGTTCCTTATATGGAGTCAAGCTTGGTGCAAAAGAAATACAACAGTCGGCTGATTCAGCATACACAACGTTATGAGCAAACATGTATTGTTAGCCCAAGATGAATTTAAGCAACCCGATCTGTCGCTTCCCATTCGACCTACTTTTACTACTACTCGACTCTTTCATCTCTTTATAAGTTTCTTCGTCCCTGCCTGGATGGTTTCAGGCACATTTTCACAAATCAGCTTACGCCGCCTGACAACATTGGTAACTTGGAATATCGTCAAAAGAAATGGAACAGTGCGCAGTCCATAAGGGAACGTAGAGTGTCTTGAAAAATGATAAGAATTCCGAGAAAGAGCGAAGTGGAAGTTAGCGGCGACTCTTTTCATAGGCTTGTGCGACGCGTGAAGTGGAAGTACGTGACCCTATCGATAGGGCGGTAACTAGTTCTGGTTCGACCACGCAAGTCCGACGTAAGTACTCTATTCGTACCAAAAGGTTGTCCATGTTCCTAATATCTGCGGCTCCAGTGTTCTCATGGTTCTCGAGGCTGGGCCCTCAAATCATCATTTAATTTCCAATGGCACTGGTAACTCAGACCAGTATTGGTTGAAATGGAATACGTGCAAGGAGGGGTGGTGCAGTCCCAAAGGCCTTATAATGAGTATGTAATACCCTGGGATGGGTACTTCATTCCGTCCGTAAACCCAATCCCCAACATACTTTTTGTAGCAGATGTTATCAATATCGTGACACCCAGTAGAAGAGTTCTTGACCGCTAGGCGTCTGTCAGCATGCAAGAGTGGCGTGAATAATCATGACGCCAACTTGAACTGGTCGTCAAAAATCGGCACTGCCGCCAAATGCCGCGCCAACTCTTAAATCCTTTAGGACTTGAGTGGAGCCAGAAAAATGTTGCATTGCTCCAGACGCACTCCAGAGCACCCTCTGTACTTGCCAGTCTACGGACATGGTTGCAGCAACCATGGCATCAGCTTACACCGTTCATCGAGGGGATGACTCGTTCTTTCAGCCCCATAGGATCATTACATGGTAACGTTATTGATCATAGGACAGGGGAGGAGCTATGCGAAACACATGCACCCATCCATACTGGCCCCCTCGCGAATCAGTATGGACAAGTCATTGCCCATTCCTTGTCTCAGAAGACTCTCATGAGGTACGACCAGCGTGTTCCAAGATGTCGCTCCACCGGATTACGATAGAAACTGACCCAATGCGACGACGGGAATTAGGACCCTAATCGTATCGCATTTTTCAATAATGTCATTAGCAATCCAACGGCTGGATGATTCTCCTTCATGCAGCCTACTAAGCCCGCATCATCTAGATCGCCATCCAGAACGTTACGAATCGTCTACGGAAAACAGCAATGGAATTGAGCGACGACTGCTCAGCACAGAAGGCGGGAACGTCACAAGTTGAGGAAAAGTGAGGACTGCAGCAGGAGACATCATGCAAAGAGGCGTGGTGCGGTTGGGGACTGCGGCTGATTTTTTGACGAGATAGTCTGAAGAGGCAAATGAACACGAAGACCGGTGAGTGGTTTTTTTTGACACGAAACCCCGTATCGAGTGTGCCGACTCGTTGCATGCCGCGTCATCGTTATCATCATCGTTAATTTCGCTCATACGAACCCAAAACATTGTTCTTCCAT